GGGGGTTCACAATGGGGTGCCAGGCTCTGGGGGTGCCCCTGCCCCACGGGGAGGGGGCTACACGTGTTCTCCAAGCCCCCCCTTGCCCCGGCATCCCTACGCCCACCCCCATTTTCCCCCCAGCCCCGACCCCAAAGGTGACGAAGGCCCCCGCGGCCAGGAGGAGGAAGGTGGTGAGGAAGAAAGTGGTGGTGAGGAAGAAAGTGGTGAGGAAGAAGAAGAAGCCAAAAGCTCCGGCTGCCCCACAGGAACCCCGTAGGTCCACGGGGGAGGGAGATGCACACACGGGATGTGTGGGGCGGTCCTTGTATGACCCCAATTCCCCCCCCCCCCCCCCCCCCCCCCCCCCTCAGCGTGCCCCCCCTTGGGGCTGGAATCCCTGCGGGTGGACGACGCGCAGCTCCAGGCGTCCAGCCACAAACGCCCCGGGCTGGGCGCCCACCGGGGCCGCCTCAACATCCAGGTAACACCCCACCCACCTCAAAATCCAGGTAACAAAACCCCACCCACCGTACCCCACACGCCCCCCCCCGCCCCGTACGGGGCGGGGGGGGCGTGTGGGGTGCGGTGGGTGGGGTAGAGGGGGCGTACCCCTAATTCTGCCCCTTTTCCCGCAGTCGGGGCTGTACGACGGGGACCCTTTCGACGGCGGGTGGTGCGCGGGGCGGGAGGACGCGGCGCAGTGGCTGCGGGTGGACGCCGGGCGCCTGACCCGCTTCACCGGCGTGGTCACCCAGGGGCTCAACTCCATCTGGACGTAAGGGGACGGGGTTCTAGAGGGGTGGAAAATACGAGGGGGGGATTTTCTGATCCTTTTTGCCGCACCCCAGGTACGACTGGGTGACGTCCTACAAGGTGCAGGTCAGCAACGACTCACAGACGTGGGTGCCGAGCAGGAACGGCTCCGAGGAGGCGGTGGGTGCTCAGGGGAGGGTTAATTAACTGTGCCAGGGTTAATTAAAACATGCCGGGGGCTTAAGTGTGCTGGGGTTAACCGTGCCGGGGGATTTAAACCACGCTGGGGGGGTTAAACGTGCTGTGTTGGGGGGTTAACCATGCTGGGTTAACCATGGCAGGAGGGTTAACCATGCTGGAGAAGGGGTTAACCATGCCAGGTTAACTATGCTGGGTTAACCATGCTGGAGAGGGGATTAACTATGCCAGATTAACCATGCTGGGTTAACCATGGCAGGAGGGTTAACCATGCTAGAGAGGGGGTTAACTATGCTGGGTTAACTGTGCTGGGTTAACCATGTTGGAGAGGGGGTTAATGTTGCTGGGTTAACCTTGCTAGAGAGGGTGTTAACCATGCTGGGTTAACCATGCTGGAGAGGGGGTTAACGTTGCTGGGTTAACCATGGCAGGAGGGTTAACCATGCTGGAGAGGGGGT